CCCCCCAGAGCATATAGTAAAGACACTCCATCACATGTAAGAAGCAAATATGAAAATATATCACATGAGACCTACTAGAAGTAATAAATAGTTTATTATTAAAGCAGGCATTATCTCACAGAAGGCGATTACATATGTAGTGTTTGAGATTTATTGTCATCAGTTTTCAAAACTGCATTTTGCTACTGGGAGTAAACATAAATTATATAAAATTAGGGCCCTGATACTGCACATAATGAGAACAATCTGCAATGTTTCCCTCAACTATTACATAAATTAGTGATGTTTAAAGGGGAATTGCACTTTCCCAGGTGAATGAGAAAATGGGATTACCCCCTGCAATCTCGCCGCCTCTCCCCCGCTATACTTACCTTTGGCCGAACACTCCTTCCCCTCCACTGATGCCGGTGTACTATCTGTACTCCATACATGGCAGCCAAGCCCTGTGCTCTGTATTTTGAATTTCAATGGCATTCTTAGCAAGAAGCTATTTTCATCTGGTGAATGCAAAATTCACCTGGGAAAGTGGAATTACCCTTTAAGCAAATACATATTGCATATTCACTTACCCAATCATAAATGTTAATATCCACCTTCTTGTCGAGGAGCAGTGACACAATGTCAGAATATCCTCCTGTGCTGGCCAACGACAAGGCACTTTCTCGTTCCTTGGCCAGGATGTGGGGGTCAGCACCCTTTGAAAAGATATGAGTAATATTGAGCATTTTAAGTAGCAAATCTGATTTTGCATAATGTATTTTCAGTACATTTTGTGCAACAATATCTTCTAAATAAAAAGCATGTCATTATGCTTCATTCACTATCAATACGTTATGTGTATATTCAGATCCTCTTTTGTGGTTAATATATCGCTCTATCCCGTAAACATACACAGTCTCTACCTGTATGTGTTCTGTTTCCCGCAACTAAGATTAAGACACTACCCAATGTAAATGTAGTAACACATTCTGATTTAGAGGGCTTATGCACTGTAGCAGTGAGTTTTTACCACTTAAATAGTGGTCCATCAGCTTGAAGTATTTAGAAAAATCTAATGCACTGCCTGCTTAGAATGCCAAAGGTATTGCTTTATGTTACTGGCATTGTTAGCCATCCAAAACCTGAACCAACTGAAAACATACAGTGCATACAGGTAAGATTTGATGCCTTTATGTAGTATGCTTCCTGCTTGTTGATAAACCTCTCAATTTATAAATGATACCTTTATGGACACACTTTGCCTGGTCCATCTACAACAAGATTCTAATGTAGTAGATGGACCAGGCAAGGTCCGGGTAGCTACGAGAATCATCCCAGAATAAAGTTCAGATCAGGTCTGCCATGCAGCTTCAGGGATTGAATTGCATGGCAAAAGACTCCATGCCCCCAGGACATGGTGACAAACTACGATTTGTCCACAGGCAGCACTTTAAAAGCCTTCACGGGTCATCAGCTTAGAGTTAACTGTAAATTATGCTCTTAGAACTATTCCTCTCATTTCAGTGTGTGCAATATACAACATGTGTTACATAATTGTTATTTATGTATGCGTGTGCACCATAAGCATGCATTAATGTGCGCATGTGCTAGGGAGCTTTAAAAAAGTTTTCTGTTTTTAATTTTATTTTTTCACCTAACTTTATTGCTGATAAATCTCCTATGTCATGGCACTTTTTTAATGACAGGTACTCTTTATGGAGACATCATTGGTTTTTGGACCCCTGATGTCTCCCCTGCATTTAGGCAAATCTGATCGAGAACACAGTGCTTCACCATGCTCTCCTAGCCAGGAACTCAGAAGTGCTCACAGCTGTGCACTTCTGGGTTTATACTGCACAGTACAGAAGGAGAAATGGATGTTCCTCTCTTCCATCTGCCATTCTGATGTGCCTTCTTTCGGTCTAGGGCTCCCAGGGACCAAGTAGTGTCTCTGATGTGAACTTTGAAGATGAATACCTCCACAATTCTGTATAGTTACAGGGGTACATTGCTCTGAATATATAAATACTTAAGCATGCATAGTTTGGGTACAGGTTCATTTCATTTAGGTTATCTCCACGTTTAAATATCCAGCCATTCTAGGCAACAAACAGCAACCCTACCTCATCCATGAGATAACGAACAGTCTCAATCTCTCCAAAAGCAGCAGCCCACATTAGAGGAGTAAAACCTCGCTCATCTGGTCGATTTAGTAATGTGTCATCTAGGAAAATAAAGAAAGTGAAAGTAACAGTAGGCTTGCCCAGCCCATCGTACACACAGTTACCAATGGGGTAAGGTTGAGAGACGCATACCTTTCTGCAGATATTCCTGGAGTTGAGTCAGCTCCCCCTGGGCCGCAACTTGATGTACAGATAGGGCTGGTAAAAAAGGATTGACAATCGACCACTTAATATGCAGCAAACAAAAATTCTACCATTAAATACATTGTATATATAAGGAGGAATGACTAATAAATGACTTACATAGAATTGGAACTGGTGGTGCTGAAAGTGTATCGAAACCCAAAAACAAAACTAAAATATATATTGCAGCTTCCCGTCCTCAAATTCCACAGCTACTGCATTAGTTTTCTTTTTTTACAGTTTTTTTTCACCTTCTCGTAGCACACTTCCTGTTCTAGGGTGACAATGCTCACTGTATCTATAGAGGAGCAGTGTTGTCACCCTAGAAGGTTCGCTCCTGATTTGGACTACAGAATATCTCCTCCTCTTCATAGCATAGTGGAAAGGTGATCTGTAGTTCATAAGGGTGAATGGGACAGGACTGATAGTGCATAAGATTTTAGTGCAGAGTGCACAGAACAACACTGGATTTCCAGAAGGATCAACTTTTGACAAAACACTTTCAAGAGTATATTTCCCAGACCAAAAGGAAGCAAATAATAGATGTTGCTATTCTTACCTTTCCGTGCACAGTCCATACCCTCCGCCAGTACAGGTGTACTATTACTACCCCGTACTGCTGTCCAGCGCAGTCCTCCCCTATGCATTTTGAATTTCGCTCGCAAATTGCAAGCATTGACCACGCTGACCAATGAGATGCGCTATTTAGCACAGTCAAATACAGTTGTGATTAGGGATGCACCAATACAGAGTATTTGGGCGAGTACTAGTACTCACCCAAATGCTCCGATACCTTCGCCAATACCGGAACTTACGGTCAGCAAAAGATTTTCTCTGGCCAGCAGTGCCGTAGGGAGAACATGGAGCCAGCTTCCTGTGCAATCAGGAAGCGGGGCAACTACTAATGACCCGCCTCCCAGTTCCCTGATTGGCGCGGGAAGCCAGCTCACCGGCCAATCAGCATCGAGCTGGCTTCCCGGCTAATCAGGTCATTACTCGCCGCCCAGTTTCCTGATTGGCCGGGAAGCTGTCTCGATGCTGATAGGCTGGGAAGCCAGTTTCCCGGCCAATCACAATCAAGCCGGCCAAACAACATGGAGTCGGCCTCCCTGGCAATCAGGAAGCCGGGAAGCATGTCATTACCCGCTGCCCGGCTTCCCAATTGTCTGGAAAGCCTGGTGCATGCCAACGGAAGCACCAATAGTCGCTATCGGCGAGTACGGAAAGCAAAAAATCAGTACTCGATACCTAAAAAACGGTATTGGTGCATCCCTAGTTTTGATTAAAACAATTTTTTTTGTATTGGGACAAGTAGATATGGCCCCCGCTTTAGCCCTTAGACAGGTAGTTTTTTTTTTTACATTTCCACACCCCTGTGTGTATATATATATATATATATAAACAAACTGTCAGTAGGACAGCTTGCCTTAATCAATTCAGTTATTCGTGAGATCTAAATATGGTTAAAAGTGATGTCATTTGCCAGGCATTTACTGTGTGCATGGCCAGCATAGGCAGCACATGATGAGCACCATATTATACAATTACATCAAATACCAACATGTATCAGGAATAAAAACAGCAACCATGCAATAACTAAATAGTCCTGGTCATGTTATTCTATTCAATGCAGTAAATTCAATAAACAAAAAATGATAATGTGCAATTTGAGTTACTGTCAGTACAACAAGGTGGACCCCATTTGTTACTGGTACATTTTGGTGTCCAAATATTAAATCATTCATGTTTACACAGCTCAGTTTAAGTAGGTAGTAGCAGCAGAGCTCTACATAAATATATGTGAAGTGTTAAGACAAAAAGACACTGCAATTCTACCATGTACTCACAGTCCAGTGTGGCTGGCAGTACGGATACCATGTTTCCACGCTGCCGATTGGTTAGAGTGGTTGAGTATTTCAATGGGCCAACTGTACAGGAAGAAGAGAAAGCGGTTATGTAACACTTATAGAAATCTGACATACAATCCACAAGTCCTCTACAGCATGGTTTCCTAGCATGGATGAACTTCTGAGTCAATCCATGCTCATTCTGGTGGGCACAGATCAAAAGGACCTATAACTAAAAACTAACTAATAAACTTCCTGGAAACAAATACCGGTATAACCTAACCCTCAATTTCACACATTCACAGCAAGTGTATTCTGTTCTGAGTCAGTATAAAAATATGGCATCCTACTGCTCTCCCATTGCTTGCTTGGTTGTTCTTTGGACAGCTCTCCATATCGCTTTGGGACTAATTGTCGACATATGATTTGGATTTTATTGTATCTTGTGTTCACACTTTCGTATATGTCAATACCTGTACATCACGTTTCTACTATTGTTTTATGTACTGCTTGCAGTTCTTTAATAAACATTTATATGGAAAAAAAAATATGGCATCTGCTATTGCCAATAAAAGCTCCAGGGCTGTCATTCTAACCAATCTTTGACTTCTGAGAAAGCAGGGCAGGCCATTGCTGACTGCATAGATATTTTGGGTGAGGCCATGCTCTGGATGACTGCCTCCAAGCCTGCACCTTTGAAACGAAACTCTAGGTTTGTCTAAGACACATACTGATGCAGCTCTGTACTCATAATTACATGTATTTATAAATGCAAGAAATGTAAGTACATGAGTTTGACTTGCTATTAGCCTCTTGCAGTACTTCTGTGTTTTGCAGTATAAGAAGCTGATAGGAGGAGAGAGAACAGTGACGGAGTGCTGAGCTTATCAATGTGCTGCAACTCCGTTCAGTGTTCAGTTATAGGGTGGGAGTGGGGAGAAGACAAAGTTAGCTGAAGCAGAGAAAGATCAGGGTCACTCCCCTGCTTGACAGGGCTATGTTGTAGGGCAAGGCCATGTAAAACTCAGAATAGGAGTCTTTAGAAAGCCTATATGACTAAAATAACTTATAGAAATTAAGAGGATTGCTCGCGCTTCCTTGTTTCCCCAACAATGATTGTGGCATCTCCTACAGCACTCGGCTTCTGACTGATGTACATGATGGCCAATTAGGGCCTGGTGGCACACCTATAACGTCTTGTCATTTAGGAAATCTACAACATATTAGTGAAGACAGAAGAGGATGTTTCTTCCTCCAATGCACTTGGTATGGAAGCCTTACCATTGAGGAAGCTGCACTTACATTCTCGGTAGGGATGTTCAGATACCAGTGCCAATACTTGCCATTTTCATTAGAAATACCAGGGCTGCATCGGTTGCAGCTGGGACCTGGCTCTGGTGCTCCACCACTGTCCTGAAATCATTAGTCTGTATTGTTTTAGAAAAACTGTCACATGACAATAAACAAAAATGTATCCGTACTTGTATCTGTGAGTACTTGGGCAAGTATCAGTACGTGAGAAAATGGTATCGGTGCATCCGTAATATATATTTATATAAAAACAAAACCAAACAGATGCACAAATCCCAGGAGCTCCGTGTGCTCCTTACAAATGACAGCTGCCTCCTAACTTTTACATTTTTCTCTAGTCTAGTCTTGGAGCTGGAAAAGTATCTGTACTTGTACTTGTACCGAGTAGTGTACTCGGTATCTGAACATCCCTAATTCTCAGGTAGGCTGGTAGCCACCTGGGAAGCTTGAAGTGGTCCCTCCTTAGAGCTACTAGTCTAGCCAAACAATGTTAACAGGGATCATGATTCTTTTAAATGCATACCATTCATATGAGTAACCTCTTCTTCAGTGTCTGAGCCACTCTGGCTTGCTGGGTAAAGATGTAAGATGACAGTGCTCTCATCGCTTTTGAGTGGAAAACCTGTAGCGTCTGCCATCGGATCTGCCATTTCTAGGCTAAAAATAGAGAGTTTAATAAATAATGTGCATGGATTATACACACTTAGAATAAAACTAAACATTGAATATATTCAAAACCAAAAGAGATATAAATATTTCATTTCTGAGACTTGGCAATAACATCTTATGTATATGTTTTCCTGCTGCACAGTTGTATGAATTTGTGATATAAATGCGTACCAGCTGGAGTTAAATATGTCTTTGTCTACTCAACGTACATATACTTTACCCTACGAGGGAACAAATTAATATGGAATTCATAAGCCAGTCTGTCCAATCCAGGAGCCAGCTCCATTAACAACTAAAGGAAATCGCAAAAGGTGGGTGCCAGCTGTCATTTTTAAGGAACATTGGCTACCTGGCTCCTGGGATTTGTCCAGGCCTGCATTACCCAAAACAATTTAGTTTTTTATAGAGTAGGGAAGGATTAGAACCCCTGACAGGTTTGGCTGCTTGTGACCCCACCGGGAAAATCCATCCTCCTATATGTCCTGGTGACCACTGCCACTGAAACAGAAAGGGATGGAGAATTCAAATTAGAAGTTTAGAGTTGTCAGAACAAGAGGAGAGGGGAAACCTTCCAATGGGGAACCTGTTCCTATGACAACTGTCTAAGGCCTGGTTCACACCTGGGCGTTTTACAGCACGTTCCTACACTCTGTAAAACGCTCAACATGTGAAAACCAATGATTGCCTATGGGCATGGTTCCCACCTGGGCGTTTTACAGCGCGTAGGAACGCGCTGCAAAACGCCCTACGCCCAAAGAAGTACAGGGGCTTCTTTGGGGCGTATTTGCCGCACGTATCCATTGGGATGCAGCCAGGTAGCCCTCGGCAACGCGTGTTTGTTGCGCGTTTTTTTACAGCGAATCGTGGTAAAAACGCGCATATTCGATACACCTAGGTGTGAACCCAGCCTAAGAGTAGAATTTCCCTCACTTTGCAGAGATTTCCTTACTTCCTGTTGTGTCTCTGGGACAGAAGTAAAGGGGAATCTCCCCAGTGGGAAACAGGCAGCAAATTAAAACCCGACAGGAGTTTTACTTCTTTCCCTACTTTGTCCCAATTGAGAAAGAAAACGTTTTGGGCTGAGATGCATTTTAAACCTAACACAATCACTGGCAGATTTCCAATGACAATGAATGAATTACATATGTTGGTGGCAGAGAAAGGGTTCAAACACATGCAACTTGAAATTTTTCCAGCAGTGATTGTCTGGCGAATGACAGATACACTGATTTATAAATATGCCCCTTAGCCCTCGTTCACACCTGAACGTTTTGTAGCGCGTTCTACGCTCGACAAACGCTCTACAAAAGGCTCAAAAATATAAATTCCATTGTATTCAATGGTCTCATTCCCACCTTGGCGTATTTCCGCCCGTCCCTAACGCTCTACAAAACGGCCCACGCCTGAAAAGGTACATGTACTACTTTGGGCCGTTTTGTTGCGCGTTTCCATTGGGATACAGCTAAGTAGCCTTCGGAAACGCGCGACAGTCGCGCAACTTTTTTACCGCGAATCGCAGTAAAAAAACGCGCGACAGACGTGCATATGCAATACGCCTAGGTGTGAACGAGACCTTAGTGTTCTGTAGTTGAAGATTTGGGAGGGTATTACTATATATTTGACAGATTAAAAGGGGACACATAAGTATATTGTTAGTGTTTACATACACTGCCCATTGAGACAGATACATTGCATTACTGCCCGCCATTAACGTGCGTTACATCAGGGCATTGCTTTTACAACGAGTGCTGGTTACTTCATATGTGCCTCTGTGGATATACACAGCGCCCTCTGCGATTGTCACTAAGAACACCAACATATTAAACTTGATTGCGTCGCTGTATGGAGTACAGCTGGCGTCTACACCTTTGCATTAAGGCAGCCCATTCATTTTGAATAGGCTGCCAACACACAGACAGGCATTGTTGCCAAAACGCTCTTTTGCATACGAATGCAGTTGCTGTTCAAACACGTGTTCAGACTGAAAATGCAGCAAAAGGTTGCATTTGACCTGCTTTGCCTATAATGGAAACGTATCTCAATAGGACCTGCTGCAAACAGAGATTTTAACAAGACTTCAATTGCAAAAATAACTGAATAATATCAGAAACGATGGGTGGTAGAATTATCCAATCAGCTTAGTTGCTTTTGTACAAGAAAGTGGCTTAAAAGTGGATAATCCTACAATATGCTAACAAGGAAATCAACATGTGACAGCCCATAAGTAAAATTATTCAGCCCCAAGTGAAACAACTTCATTCCCTCATCCATTCTAAACAGCCATAGCTTGAATTTTGGCTGATTCAAGCCAGGTATGGTCAGCATATGCAAGCTCTACACAATCAGTAACAAAGCCCAGGTGATGGTAGTTAGAGAGGCAGCACTGCGTCCAGGGTCAAATCATGCTGTGCTGACGTTGTCATGGGCTTTTCAGAGGTACTGGCTAAAGGTGCCCATACACTTTACAACCCTCGCAAGACTTTTGTCTTGCGAGGGTTGTAAAGTACTTAAAGAAACGTACGATCTGCCCATCCTGAGGGGCGGGCTTGCAATGACTGCAAACGGGTAGTGTGCGCATGCGCACACCGGCCCGTTCGGCAGTTGTCGAACAAGCAGGCCACTAACTCGCCGAGAATCGTACGATTCCCGGCAGGTTTTCCAGCCTGCTTGTTCGATGGAAGACGTGGGACCGTACAGTAGAAACGGTTGCACGCCTTCCATACACTGCACGATTCTCGTACGATCGCGGGATTTCCCGCGATTCTTGTACGAGAATCGTGCAGTGTATGGGCACCTTAAAGGGCCGCTCCTCGGCTCCATCTAGAGCCTTGGTTCTCAACTGGTGGGTCCTGACCCAAAAGTGGGTTGCGGCCCCGTGTTCAGTGGGTCCCCGTGTGCTTTCCACTTTTCTGGGTGAGAGGTCAAGCAGCCATTCAAAATACGCTGTCCAGTACCTAGTGTCAGCTTGAGGTGGGGTGGGCTCCATCCCTAAGTGCATTGCTTACAGAGCCCTCATATGTCCTGTAGAGGTGCCTGGACCGGAGTGACATTACATTCTGGCTCCCGGCACCTCTAAAGGGTGTGCATGGGAGTTGTACAAGCAATGCACATATGAATGGAACTCCATCACAGCACAGCAGCCCACACCGGACCCCAGGCTGAGGATCCAGTTCTTGTAAGATAGGGAGACTGGGTGGATCTTAAAAACAAAAATTATTTGTTTTTGGGAGTGTGTATGTATGTGTGTGAGATTGTGTCTGTGGTTGTGTGTGTCTCAGTGTCTTTGAGGGCCCATTCACACTAATACAGTGCGTCAATCGCACTGTACCACGCAATCGCACCTATCACATGTGCTGGTGTGAGAAGTGCATTGCATTGCCATTCATTTGAATGGCACCCCAAACGCACCTCCCGCCCACAGTTCTATTGCCCGCATCGGAACTCGCAGTACCGCGCATTACATTGCAGTGCAACTTGGGTCACGACTTAATGACCAAGGACAAATGTGAGTCCTGAGGTTACACAGGTTGAGAACCACTGATCTACGAGGAAGCGGCGGCGGGGGAGGGCGGAGGACTCTCTCTCCCCTCACTGCTTGTCCGTTCTGTCACAGCGGCTCCGACACCTCCCCCCCCGCGGATGAAGTGCTCTTTCACTTCTCGTCGGATCCCCCGCTGCCTCTGCCCGGGAGAGCAGGGGGGATGCAGAGGAGAAGCTGAGCCCATTTGTGCGTGGCCAAGTGGCAGAGGATCGGTACATGTCACTAGTATGTACCAATCCTCTGTGCAGGACAAACACTGGAGCGATCGGCTGATCAAGTAGATCTCCAGACGAAAAATAGTGGGCGCCCCTAATCTAGAGCCTTGGTTCTCAACTGGTGGGTCGTGACCCAAAAGTGGGTCTCGACCCCGTGTTCAGTGGGTCATCACATTCCTTCCACTTTTGTAGGTGAGAGGCTCCTCAGCCTCCCCCTAGTGCTGCATTGCCAGTTTTCGCGCAAAGCAGCCATTCAAAATATGCCCGAGTGTCGGCTTGAGGTGGAGTGGGCTGGGGCTATGGCCGCGAGGGAGCTCCATCCATATTTGCATTGCTTACAGCTCCCTCGTGTGCCCTGTAGAGGTGCCTGGACTAGAGTGACGTCACTTTCCTGCTCCCGGCACCTCTACAGGGTGTGCAAGGGAGCTGTACATGCAATGCACATATGGATGGAGCTCCATCACAGCACAGCAGCCCACACTGGACCCCAGGCTGAGGATCCACTCCAGTTCTCGTAAGGTAGGGAGAAAGGGTGGACCTACCACGTTTTCTGGTGTGGGAGGTGTGTTGCGTTGCCATTCATTTGATTACCCACACTGGAATACAAGGTACAGCAATGCTGTGCATTCCATTGCAGTGCGACTTGGGTCACGACCTAATGACCAAGGACAAATGTGAGCCCTGAGGTTACACAGGTTGAGAACCGTGAGAGGCTCCTCTGCCTCCCCCTAGCACAGCACTGTCAGTTCTCGCGCCAAGCAGCCATTCAAAATATGCTACCCGATACCGAGTGTCAGCTTGAGGTGGCATAGGATGGGGCTATGGCCGCGAGGGAACTCCATCCATATGTGCATTGCTTACAGCTCCCTTGTGTGTCCTGTAGAGGTGCCTGGACCGTAGTGATGTCACATTCTGGCTCCCGGGACCTCTACAGGGCGCGCAAGGGAGCGGGAGAGGGCCCGTACAAGCAGCCCAGCCCACACTGGACCCCAGGCTGAGGATCCACTCCAGTTCTCATAAGGTAGGGGGACTTGGTGAACCTTAAAAAAAATAAAAACATTTGTGGAGTGTGTATGTGTGTGTGAGAATGTCTGAGTGTGTGAAATTGTGCCTGTCAGAGTTTTTGAGGGCCCGTTCAAACTAGTACAGTGAGTTAATCGCATAGTACTGTTCGATTAACGCACTGTACGATTAACGCACTGTACCACGCAATCGCACCTACTGTGCATTCTGGTGTGGGAGGTGTGTGGAGTTGCCATTCATTTGAATGGTACCCTGAACGCACATCCCACCCACAGTTCGTACGCCCGCATCGGAATGCACGGTACCCTAATGCCTTGCGTTCCATTGCAGTGCGACTTGGGTCACTACTTAATGATCAAGGACAAATGTGGGTCCTGAGGTTACACAGGTTGAGAACTACTGCTCTAGAGGACACATCCCCTACGCTCCTCAGCTCCTTCTAACGGACAGAATGCAGTGCCACTGTAAAAGTCAGATTTTCGCAGAACAAATGGCTCTGCAAAGGTTTTTATAAATACACCCCTTAGTCTCTGTTCACAATTGGGAATCTGCATTCTTATGCTTTTTTAAGTGCATTTTACATGCATTATTGCTTGGCCAATGTGAAATAAAACATAAGTTGCTAGAAGGTGGAGGCTTATTGTCATGTGCTAAAGGGGTGAAATTGCATGTTACATGCACTTTTTGTGCGCGCTAAAAACATTGCATCAAAAGCACCTGCACCTTTCCAAAATTCCCACTGCACCGTGTTCCACAGGAGTGAACAAGCACCATAGAGAATAATGTGATTTCCATTGTCATGCGTTGCAGCATGACAGCAGACGCACAACAAATTGCACTAGTGTGAAAAGAGGGAGGGGGGGG